GAGCTACATTGAGTTTATTTGCAATAAATTTCTCAAGCGTTTAAATTTAAGATACTTCCATGCGTTTCGAGCGAGATATTTTCGCCGGCGTGTTTTTCTCAGTATAATAATATACATAAAGATATTACTGGACTGTGATTGGTTGATTTCAGTGCCGTTAATCCCAAACAGCAGTGCAATTTTCTGTAATTACAGTGCAATTTTCTGTAATCCCAGTGCAATATTTTGTAATCACATGCAGTGTAATTTTCTGTAATCGCAGTGCAAAAATCTGTAACAAACTGATCTGATTGGTGGAAAAACATTGTGATGATTAAATCAACCAATCAGTTTAAAGCAATTTAGTTTAAAGACTAACGATCACAGATTGCTTCAAAACAAAACAAACATGGCGCCGCGCTACACAAAGTAAAAGCTGCCTTTGCGCGGAAAATATCGCTTTTGTCTTTATTTTTAAATGGAAAGGCATTTAGCGCAAACAATACTAACAAAAATTACACAGTTGAGTGGAATTTTCAAGCTGTTAGCGTTGTATAATATGATATAACAAAGCCAGGAAATCTTTGCCAGTGGAATGTTCACTATAAACGCGTAAGTTAAAACTACAATTGTCTCGAACTTTATTATGTAAATTATTAATAAGTAACAGGATGGTTTGCTGTGAAATTTGGATAAACATGCACTCGTGAGTTTTTCAAAGACCTCAAATAACACTCGTCCTTCGGACTCGTGCTATTTTGAGGTCTTTGAAAAACTCCCTCGTGCATGTTATATCCAAATTGCACTTGAAACCATGCTACAGTATTACCTATACTAACCACCCATCTGCCTATAAGGGCTTTACTCAGCCGCGTAGCTAGTTTATGTCAGTTCGGCGGCATTTTTTAGTGTACATCAATTAAACTCTGACTTGCTGTGGTTATCGTCGTTGATTCTATCAGTATGTGATACAAGAATTTTCCAACTGTTTTAAGTGCTTTGTTTCGAGTCGTCAAAAAGCATGCTTATTGTGCTGGCGTCCCAAGAAACAATTTTTTGCTAGAAATTTCATATCTTCGGTTCAGTGCATGCTATGAAGACAGAAATGTCACCGCCTTTCGATTCAGAAATAAAAGATTCAACTAATATGGGGATTCAAGGTTTTCGACGCAATTGGCTCAGGGGGTGCAAATACATTGGGGCGAGTGTGCGACCAGCGCCATTTCCCATACTATTTTATATTAGGAGTGGGAAAATTACGTTTGCACATTTTGTTGAATTTCTGCAAAAGTATTAAAGAATCGTTCAGCTTTACAAGTTGTGATCAATTTCCGGGTATTTTCTGATGTGTGTACGGGTTTTCATCCGAATCAAATGCCTGGAAGTGTAAAAATATTTGCGAGTTTGTTGGAACGTTTTGGGAGCTATTTATTATAGTTTAGTATTGTTTACATGTCAGCGTGTATATGAAATCATTTGGTTGCTTCGAGATTTAACGGCCGAAATGGATGAAATTTTCGCTGAACATAAATATTTATCATACAAGAATCCACATGGAGTGCGAACATGTAATTTGATATCTCGTGCGCCTCGCCGGTGCTATTTTGTCGCTTCAAAACCTGTTATCAGTGCTGTCGCATTGCATTCGATAGCTTCGCTGAGGAATACAGATAAAAATACAGGATAAAAGCCTTATTCAGTGTAACTAAATACTGCTTTCACTAAGGGTCCTGTAACTAATACTAAGTTTATAAATATAGATAAAAATATGCTAATATACTCATATACATACAATACTAAACACACCGGCAATGATACTTAATGTCTAAAAACTGTTCATTTGCTTAAGGTAATTCGGCAGTATTTGTTCCCGAAATGAGAATGTGCTGAAACTTCCCAGGCATGGAGCTTATGATATACTTAAAGTAAATCACATAAAAAAGTTGGGGTCACCGAACTCATTAAGAAGATATGAAAATCACAATATACCAAATTTGCCCCCAATATGGCGCCATCTTGACGCCCATTACGAGTATCAGCAAAATCACAACACCCCGATATTTATTGACGTTTTTTAGCGAGGATTTTGCTTTAGTAAACCTATCTTGTAATTATTTTTGAAACAATATTGTGTTTTGAGAAAAATGAACTACTAACGTGTATAATTGTGATCCACAAGTGTCTTTTCCACATTTCTTTACATATCAGCTTTCTTTAAGAACATGCATTGATAAAGGATTTTTTTAAGATTCAGAAATGACTTTTCTTTTAATTTCGGATAGGAAATGTAAAATGCATTAAAGAAATAAATTATGTGTCAAAAAACGAGAATCACCGATCATTTAGGGAATTGTGGCATTAAAACGTGAAATACAAGTAAATAAATATACCACAGACACAGGGAACCCTAGCTACACTTTTGTATGCCTTTTTTGAAAACATTGATTTTAACGTAATTCTTTGCACCAAAGATGTAACCAAAGATGTTTTGAAGTAAAATAAAATTGTCATAAAATGATTTTTTTAAACGGTACGTAGAATGGATGAAATTATAAATTATAAGATGTGCGCAGTAAAAGTGCGCAGTGCAAAACTGCGGAATTACCTTAACTCGATAATTCACTTTAATGCAAGCTGGTATGCATGAAATTGCACGTGAATGTTATCGCTCATTTTAAAGCTAGCATCAATTGTGTTTCAATGTTTGTTTATAATGGTCTTAATACTTTATGTAGAGTTTTTATACTTCAGGGACTGGTCATAAAGTAAAAGAAGGGGTGGGCTGGGAAAAATAAGGGGTGGGTCACTAAACACCGCGGAAAAACGTCTGCGCATGCGTCAACCTTACCTGTAATAGTATTGCGAACTTGATAAGAAGCTGTTCCGAACGTTTCCGAAGGCTCAAAATGGCGGTAAAAAGGAGTGACTTCATTGTGCGTCTTTACAGCCAGATTTCGAGCGCAAAAATAAACATGTCATTCTAAAACTAGGAATAAATACAGCCAGAAGGTTCAAGAAATTGTATTGTACAAGAACATGAACTAAAGGTGATTGTTGACAAATTTATCGTCTGAAACATTTTGTTTATCAACTAAGCAACGACAATTTCAGAATTTTCGTTTGAGATACATTTCTTTAAAAAAAACTGTGTCGCCAAATATAAAAAATTTTCGTGTTCACAATAATTAAACTTTAGGATTTATTCTACAATTTGAGTGGGTTAAAAAGCTTAACTTTTCGAGAGTTTTCTTAACTTTTTAGTTTGAATTTTTGTTTTGAATAATTCTGCAAAAATTTTCGAAGTCGTGTCCGTTAAAATCAACAATTTTTTACATGAATTATATTTCATTCAATACTTTAAATGCCAGGACGCTTTCAATTAATGTCTAGTCTACCCATTTGCTATATTTACTCGTTTGTTTTACTAATTTTTGACCAATTAATAAGCATGTTTTTGTTTTAGAAATTGATATTCAAATTACCCGCCATATTTTCATAATTTGGTGCATGCGCAGACGTTTTTCCGCGGTGTTGGGTCACTATTGTTGAGCACGGTTGAAGGAATATGCAGAATATTTTTCAAGGGCATATGACTTTTGTGTATTAAAATTCATATTATAAAAATAGAAATAAAATGTATCAGGATCCATGTGTAAAATTTATACTTCAAACTTAAAAGCTGAATTTACTGTCTGGGCTAATACGTTAGTAGTGACTAACTAATTTTCTGATAATCATTATTGCTGAATGTCACGAGCTTTGTGTAGGATGTTTATTATGTAACAAAATTAGTGTAATTTCTACAAGAGCGTAGATAAATCACAATCATCGTTAGCGTTTCGGTGTTAGCTGTAAATGTCAAACTAAAGGTCTCTAATTATGAGAAAGACATTGCATAATGCAGTATGCATGGGAAGTTCCATGCAGAGAAAGACCTTTCTGTATTTAATTCAGGGCCTCTTTTAACATATAGACTGGGGAGGACATGTCCCCCTAGCCCTCTTACTGGTCCCTCCAGTCGGCAATTTTGTCCCCCCCCCAGTGAGGTCCCTAAGAACTACTGCAGTAGGTGGTCAACCAGCAATTATGTATCAAAGTGAGAAAACGATGTTAAGTTGTTAACATTTCTGAATTTGACCATCATCTGCGGGCCTGTAAGTAGCTATGAGTCCACCGAATCAGTTGACTTGGTAGGCCAGAATTTGGGACTGAAATTTAAACATCACCAGAAACCTAAACCATGATTGAAATAATTTGCTTGTGCAACAAGGCATGAAATGGCATTTTAGGACGAAATTCTAGTTCAGTTTTTCCAAGCAAAGATACTCCAAAGAGACCACCCTATCTTGCTTTTCAGTGACACAGAGAAGACAAATGCGTTGATTTCAAGTACCCCAATAAATGTAATACAGTACTGTAGAATTTGAAGTGTGGTGAATGATAATACTATACCACACACATTTTAATTACCGCATCATCATACCATGTTGCCTTATTGGGACTGGATTACATTTGGGAAACTGTGTCACTGTTTATAAGGTTAATTTCTTGTTGGAAAACTCCTCAAAACGCGGGAAATAGCTTATCTGAGCTTCAAAAACTACTATGTGGGGTATGCCCCAGACCCCTCCAGAACTGTGGGGTATGCCCCCAGACCCCTCCAGAAGCTCGCACCTTGGGTGGTCGACTCGGTTGTCTCAGAATCCTAGTTACGGCCTGATCTGCTGCCCTATGATGTATGCTTATTAGTTGAACCATGCATGGAAGGACATATTTGGCGTTATGTACCGTTTATTGACGTAAACCAGTGTGACGATGCACACCACGTTGTTGTTCTTGACTAAAGAGCTCGACTAAAGTAGACTGTAATATACTTGTTCGTGTGTTTTAATATCGAAATATAAACTACAAAACACTACACTGGCGACGAGGAAAATCTTTTTATTTCGGCCAAAGAAGTTATCAATCCTTTTAAGCGACCAAACGGGCTTGGTTGATTGAAAATCGAACGAAATTACAGCATGACAACGTTTGGAAAAATCAAGGAATTTAATGGCGAGCATGAAGAATGGAAACATTACATCGAGCGAATGAATCACTTCTTCGAGGCAGATGAAATCGAAGATGAAGGGAAACTGCGATCAATTTTCCTGGTTAGTGTTGGGGCAAAGACGTATAAGTTAAGCCGATGTTTAGTTGCTCCTGAAGAACCTAAAAGCAAGAGTTACGAAGAGCTGGCGAAATTAGTGCAAGATCATTACCAGCCAAAGCCAAGTGTTATAGTTGAACGATTCAAATCTAACACGCGCCGCCAACAACAAGGTGAGACAATTCCAATGTATTTAGCAGAGTTAAAGCGTCTCTCAGAAAATTGCGAATTTGGTTCAAATATGAACGAAATGTTGCGTGATCGAATTGTGTGTGGGACAAGTGACCACAGAATTCAACGTCGTTTGTTAGCAGAACCTGAACTGATTCTGAAGCGATCTCTTGACCTCGCTATAGCAATTGAAACATCCGAAAAGGACGCTTTAAATCTGCAGAAGAATAACACGCCAGGGGCGAATGGCATGAATAAACTAGACGGAACAGTTCGAGTTCCCAAGGGACAAAACACGGGTTATAGGTGCAGTCGGTGTGGTGGGAACCACAGCCCCACTGAATGCCGTTTTAAGGAAGCTAAGTGCCATGCATGTGGGAAAATTGGTCATATATCCAGGGCCAGGGTAGAAGCAAAGCAAAAGGGAAGCAACCACCTAAAGCAAAACCAACCCATCACCTTTCAGAACAGGGACAGGGAAGTTCGAGCGAAGACAGCCCTAATGAAGAAAGTGCCCCACCAGCATATTCTATGTTTACATTTGGTCATAAAAGCACCACCCCATACCAAGTAAACATATCTATCAATGGGACATCCATAGATATGGAAATTGACACTGGTGCTTCATTGTCTGTTATTAGTGAAGCAACCTATGTAGACTTGAACAGTGAAGGGAAAGTCCCACCCCTAGGAAATACGGATGTGATTCTCCGTACATACACTGGGGAGGAAGTGAAGCCAAAAGGGTCCCTAGAGGTAACAGCATCTTACGATGGGAAATAATTCAAGTTACCTTTACTCGTAGTGGAAGGGAAAGGTCCAGCTCTTCTGGGGAGAAATTGGCTAACTGAACTGGCCTATGATTAAAAAGTTAATACCGATAAATCAGCAGTTAGATGCAGTAGTTCAAAGGTACTCACACCTGTTTCAAGAAGGTCTGGGTACCCTTAAAGGTGCCACAGCTAAGATTCATGTGAACCCATCGGTCACACCTGTATTTCTTAAAGCCAGACCGATACCCTACAGTATGCGTTGCGAGAAAAGATTGAACAAGATCTCGAATGGTTAGAAAAAGCAGGGACAGTTGAACCAGTCCAATTTTCTGAATGGGCTACCCCAATAGTTCCAGTCATTAAGCAAGATGGGAAGGTGAGAGTTTGTGGGGATTATAAACTTACTGTAAATAAGGTTTCAAAATTAGATGCATACCCAATCCCCAAACTCGATGACCTTTATACAAAGCTTGCTGGGGGTAAGACCTTTACTGAATTAGATTTAAGTTATGCATACGAACAGATGCTAGTAGATGAAAATTCCAAGGAATTTTTAACCATCAACACCCACAAAGGTCTTTACAGGTACAATCGCCTGCCTTATGGTGTGGCATCAGCACCCGGTATTTTTCAGAGAATGATGGAGGGATTTCTCCATGGTATACCACATGTATGTAGGTGTTTTGCTTGATAACGTCCTCATCACCGGTACCACGGAAGAAGAGCACCTCATGAATATTGAAGCAGTTTTGAAATGTATATCGGATGCCTGGTTACGACTTAAAGCATCAAAGTGCCAGTTCATGAAACCTTCACTTGTGTGTCTGGGTCACGACGTACATTGACGCAGAGGGTTTCCATCCAGTGGCAGCCAAGGTGAAAACCATTCAAGATGCTCCAGCTCCTACAAATGTCACAGAATTGAAGTCTTTCTTGGGCATGGGCAATTTTTATGGCAAATTCCTTCCGAACCTGTCATCCACATTAGAGCCACTGCATGAGCTTCTACGTAAAGGAACACGTTGGGTGTGGCGCAGCCGACAACAAGAAGCCTATGACACTGCTAAGGCCCTTCTGCAGTCATCACAAGTTCTCGTGCATTACAACCCGGAGAAGGAGTTGCTGTTATCATGCGATGCATCTACGTACGGGGTGGGCGCGGTTTTGGCACATAAGATGAATGATGGTTTGGAGAGACCGATTGCATATGCGTCAAGGACACTTTCCAAACCTGAACGAGGATACTCGCAATTAGATAAAGAAGCGTTGGCCATCCTATTTGCGGTAAAAAGTTCCACCAGTTTTTGTATGGTAGACACTTCGTAGTCTACACCGACCACAAACCATTGCTTGGATTGCTAAATTCTGACAAAGCGACACCCACAATGGGATCAAGCAGAATGCAGCGTTGGGCGTTGACACTCTTAGCGTACGAATATGAGTTGATCTACAGACCAGGCAACCAATGCAGATTCTTTGAGTTGTCTACCTCTTCCAGATGTTCCTGCCTCCACACCAGTCCCTGGCGACATTATCAATTTGATAGAGCACATTAATGGTAGCCCAGAACAGGTGGGCAATTTGTCTGAGCATGCGCGAAGAAAATCAAAATGGCGACATATATTTAGGAGTGCTTTGTGGGTTTATCTGGTTTTAAAGCTGATAAAACAACATTTTAATGAACAAAAACTTTGTAATATTTAGTGGAAAACATTAAGCTGAACAGTCCAAAGATTTTAAATTAAAAATAAGTACTTTTGCTTTATTTATTGCTTTTTATGCTTTGAAAACAGGCAAGCTCATTTTGTTGAAAAATTCTAATCTAATATTTTACCCATCAGTTGTCTAATGGCTGAACAGAAATAGGTAGAACACTTGGCTATATAAGTTATAAAAGTACTGTTAGCTGTTCTGAAAGATTTCAGTATTCTTGGTACACATTTTAACAAAGAATGAAATGTAATTTTAAAAATTGAATATGCATATAAAAAACAATAGTTTTTATTAGAACAACATAGTATAAGTTGTTATTTTCTATTTTTACAAAAACAAGTTTAGAAACAGGATTTAGTCCTCCAGCTTGATGTCATATTCCATTTATTTGGATATTTCAATAAAGGAATGTGAAATAATAATTTGATCTTGTGCAAAATTTGATACCAACACACATGTGAACAGATACTATCACCTAAAAATAACAAAACATAACTTAAATTTATCATGTAGTGAGCACAATTCTTTAACAAACTCACTAAAATAAGTTAAGTTATACTAAGATAAGAGGATGGCAATATATAACAACATCAAATGTTGCCATCTTCAGTGTTCAAAAAAAGTGCCGCGCGCATTTTTCGTGGTTGCATAACTGGTATTGCCACAAACCCAGGTGAAAAAGCAATTAGAAAAATCTGGTTTTGGGTGATGAGCATAGTCAAATTCTTGACTTATTAAATTTTCTATGTTTTTCCAGGTAAACAGATTAAACATTGAAATAAGCCGCATTCGGGACCTCATAGAATCCAAACTATTGTGTATGGACCAGACTTTTTTCAATTTTCTGTGATTTACATAACACTAGTTATAATTTAAGGGTCAACCAGTATTGTTCAAAACATGTTTTCCTTCCAGAACACCTTTCAAAATACTAACCCAAACATGTCAAAAATAGTGTATATTTACAAGGGCAATTTCAACCCCTTGGCACATTTTTCCCATGAATGATTTTAATTCTAGTAAAAAGACTATAGATAAAACTTTGATTTAAAGCTAGTTTCAAGTGATGAGCATACCCTAATTTTTAAGCTATACCTCAAAGAAGATGGGTCAATTCAACATAAACATTGAAATATGGGTATATTGACAGCTCTGTCACACCTGTCATTTGCCATTAGCAGACCTTCAGAAACATTTTAATGAAAGTATAATTCACAAAGTTCACATTTTCACTTACTTCTTAACATCTGTTTTAATCCAACTAGCTCCGTAGGCACGAGCAAAATTTAGTGTTGATGTAAATATCCATTTAGTTCATGTTTCCCCGGTGAGAATATAGTCTATTCCAAAGTTGAT